TGATGAGTGAAAGAGAGAAAAATAAGAGAAACAGAGACACAGAGAGAAAGAGAGAGACAGACAGACAGACAGACAGACAGAGAAGAGTGATGAGTGAGAGAGAGAAAAATCAGAGAGACAGACACAGAGAAAAAGAGAGAGACAGACAGACAGAGAAGAGTGATGAGTGAGAGAGAGAAAAATCAGAGAGACAGACACAGAGAAAAAGAGAGAGACAGACAGACAGAGAAGAGTGATGAGTGAGAGAGATCCTCCTAGGATTCATACTCCTAAGGATAATGCTTATCTTTTACACCCTCCCCCACTGCTTAAACCAAGTGGGATGGTTTTCTCCATGGCCGAATCACCATTTGACCGAAGTAACACTGGCTATGCTGAGCCATGGAGGAGACCGAACTATCCTTAGCTCGGTTTTCTCCCGTTCAACCATGGTATGCTGAGACCAAGCTTCTGAGTAGCAAGCTCCGACTGATCTAACCACAATACACCGCAACCGGACTAACTTTGAGACCGGACTAACATCAAGTTACCTCCAGACCGGAGTAGCTTTACAACATCTTGGGCCGAAGCAATTACACCTCTCTTAACCGGAGTAACCATACCTCTCCTAGGCCGGAGTAACTATGCTTCTTCTGGGCCGAAATATCATTACGGCCTTTTTACTGAGTCCTTCACACTTTGGGCCAAGTCCATCTTACAGCTCGGTCCAATTCTCTCCAAAAATTACCCTCTCAATTGCCCCTTAATTCCATCTGCACAGCGTGATTGGGATTACCAGTCTACCAACCGAGCTGAAGTTTATTAAGCCTTTCCAGCCGAGCTAAAAACCCTTTAGCTTCTCCAGCCGAGCTAATTTTACTCCGGGCTCCGTTTTGTCCGGTCAAAAACGTCTCTTCAATCACAGCGTCTGTAACGCTTCCCATTCCAGTGACACGTGGCAAGCTCTGATAAGCTGTGGCCAACTGTCACGCCGCCCTACAGAAATTTTGTACTGTTCCCGCCTTTTCTTTCCGCCTTTTTCTCTCTCCTCTTTCACAAAACAACCTCTCTTTTTCTTGAATCACTTCACCTTCCATTCTTCATTTCCTCTCTCTGTGTTCTTGCCGTTCGTGCTCTGCAACAGTTTTTATCTCCAGTCCCTGCTTCATCAATCTAGTAAGCAAATCTACTTTCCTTCTTACTCTGTTTTGCTTTCGCATCTGTATCTCTTGTTTTGTATGTTTTTTGCCAACACTTTCTTTCATTTGCTGCTTTCGCTTCCGTACTTTTATGAAAAAACCAGTAGAACTTATGTGTGTATGAATTATCCTGTAAAAAACTAGTCTTGGATCCAAAATCATGTAGCAACCGAACTAGGATACTGTTTGTCCCATATATGTAGATAGATTCAGACAATAACCAAACTAAAACTTGTAGGAATATCAGTAGTTTCTTCTGAACCACTTTAGCCGAGATAAGAGCACCGAACAAAGTTTGCACGTACTGAACTAGGTACTTCGGTCTATAACCGAGCTAAGCCTTTGGGGCCAAGCCAACTTTCTTAGTTTCTACACCAGACTCAGAAAGCTGCCCCTAGAGGCTCAACCGAAGTAACAAAACCCACAGTTCAAACCGAAATAATCAACCAAACCCGAAGTCCGAACCAAGATACAAACTGTAGCATCCCACATAGCCGAAGTAGGACATGTATTGCTTTTATTTGTAGCACGGTCAGATGATCTGTGCTTAACCTCTATGTTTTCCACTTTGCAGACTTAGGTGGCCCAAGCACTCCCTTGCACACTCGACCAAGCTACTGAGTACAACCCTTGAACCGATCTAACTTATTCTTAATTTATACGATAGATGGGCAAGTATAGATACCTAGTAAATACCCCGGGCGGCCTAGCCGAATTCAGGAAAGACTACCAAATACCTGACGACGTCCAGCTGGTTTTGGCCGAAAAAGACATCACACCCTGGGATAATGAAGGCTTCGTCCCCTTCACTCTTTTATCTATCATCGAAACCGGCCTGCGGTTTCCGGTTCAACCGTTGATCTGTGAATTTCTTAGGCAGACTAGATTATGCCCTACCCAACTGTCCACCAATACGTACCGCATCATCATGGGAATAGCCGCACTGAACCACCAAACCGGACTAAAGCCTTGTTTGTCATCTACTATATAATCCATTTTTTTTATCTTTTTATCTTTTTTTCATCACATCACCTCTCTACTTTTCTGCACATCTTTTCGTAAAAAGACAAAAAGTGCACTTTTTTAGTACACCCCAAACCAACCCTAAATCTTGGCTTGGCCGAGATATTCCATCAATACTCCATCGGCTCAAAAGAAGATGGGTGGGTATATTACCTTAGGATACGCCGCCGCCGAGAGAAGATAATTAAACACACACCAGACAAAGATGTAAATGACGACGACTTTTTCTGGGTCTTTGGAAACTTTGAGGATTTTCAAGCCCAAATTCCTGGCCGACCTATAAATTGGAAAAAAGGGGAGCCCGGTAATTTAACTTCGGCCTTGTTTTTTGCGATTTTTTATTTCGGTTTTGCTAGTCCATCAACCGAACTAACAGTTATCTTTATTTTCGCAGATTCTGCTCACCTTCATTCCGTGTACAGTTATCCAAATCTTGCTGTGTTGCGAGCCGCACTACGGTATCCTGAACGTAGTTGGACCAAGTTGCTGCAATTCGAGCCGACCTACCGATATAGCGGTCGCCGAAAAGCCCGAGTGACCGATTTTCTCCTTGAAGACGCACCTGAACCGGACCCAACCCTGCCCGAGATACGACTTGTTCCACTGACTGCAGAAGAAGAGATGGCAAAGAAAAGCAGAGTTAGGGCCCTTCTGACCGAAACAACTAGGCCCAAGGTAACACCACCCAGCCAATCGCAACCTGCTGTTGTAGCCCTCCCTTCTCAACAGCCATCCTCTTCTCGCCGAACTAAGCGCGCCCGGACTGCCGAGACCGAACAAGTATTAATGGTTGATGAAGCAGAACCCGTTCTTCCGCCGAGCTTGCCACCGAGCCCCCAACTGGTTCCTTCTGACAGAACTACCGACCGCTGGGCCCCAAAACTTACCTTTAACGACCGAGACATCCGAAATACAGATTCGGTCGTTGCTGAAAAAGACCATTTATTGGCCCTCAATCTGGCCAAGGGTGTGTGCCTCCCTAAAGACATGGAGCATCACCAGAAACAACTGAATACCGAGCTAAAGGCCATCCGGTCAACAACAAAATCCATGATTCTGGTAGGCAACTTCGGTCGTTTTGCTGTCTACTTTCTTTTTTCAACTTCTACTTCGGTTTTAAAGGGAAATCTTTGCTTTGTCAGGCCCTTCAAAAAAACCAAATTACTCACAAGAAAGTGCTTGAGCTTAGGAAAATAACAAGGCAAGCGGCGGCGGAGGCCGAAGCAAAAACGACCGAGCTAGAGGAGGCCCGAAAGCAGATGGCCGAGCTACGCGGGGAGGTCGGCAGGCTGACCGGACTGGTTAATTCGGCGGAAGCCGAAAAGCAAAAGACTGCCATTGCTCTGAAGGATAAATACCTGCGCGAGCTGGTGAAGCTTGAAAGAAAGAAAGATGCCGAAATGAAGGAGAGGGCAAAGGAAGCTGACAAACAAGGCTTCAAGAGGGCAGAGGATGCTTATGCCCAACAATGCAATGCTGCCAAGGAGCTGTTCTTTAAGTGCGGCTGGAGGGGAGCCGTTGAGAAGCTCGGTCATGATCCTCAGACCGAGGTTTTCAACCCTCCAGCCTACTTCATACCGAACTCCCTGATGGAATATGCCAAAGCCATGCAACAGCAGTTCCTTGAGGGCTCAGACGATGAAGACTCTGATGAAGACTCTGCCCCTGAGGATACTCCGGTCGTGAATGTAGATCAGGTAGTTCGGTCGGAGCCCATGGTGGAAGATCTAACTATTGATCAACCAAGTGAAACCGTGGTTCCGGCCGAAACCACTCTTCCGACTGAAAACGTCCTTGCGCCCGAAACCGGTCTTCAGGTTGCTGCCGATGCTGCCTTTGACGCCGAGATCGAAGATCTTTTTTCTTGATTTTTTCTCTTTGTTTGTGCAACTAATGAGAAGAATTACAGGCTTTGTAAAGAAGTTTGCATTATTCACCACACCATTCTTTCTGTATGCTAGGTTACTGGAAAAGTGGGGGGAAAACAAAGAAAAACAAATTTTATACTAATTACTCCAATTGATCTGCACTCGCTCCAATTGATTTCTGCTTAGTGGTTTCACTCACTACACCAAATTAAGATTTTAGAGATAAATTTAAAAATAAAATTACATTTTAGGAACGAAATATTTTTATTATCGCAAGTGTTATTATTATGTTTTTTGCTAGAAAAATAGGCATTTAATGATGAAGTATTATCTTTTGGGTATTAAAATTTTTTGTTTAAAATAAAATAAAATAATATAAAAAAATCTTTTTAAGATCAAATTATTGCCATGCATTTATTAGCAAAATTTTCAAAATGTCATTGCTAAAAGTCTTAGTTATTTTTCGGCTTAACTTTTTAGTGGCTATCATCGCAACAACATGAATTGATCTCCAAATATTTGTTACAATAAAATTTTCACTTTTGGAAACAAAAAAATTAATCTCTTAAACTCTAATATATTGTAACAAAAAAATTAATCTCTTAAACTCTAATATGTTGTAACGTCACCATGCATCCATGTTTATATGCATTTAATTTGATTGAATTCATTAGCATTGTCTAAAATCTTGTTCATCAAGTTGGTAATGCTTACTACAGTTGAGCTTGGCAAAATGATCGGAAGCCAAATCCATGTTGGGTATTCTTCTAGTATGCGAGTACAAGACAGAAGCAAAGACAGTAGTAGTGAGACATTGTGAATGTAAAATCTCGACTAAATTAGCTTGCAATTATTTCCATTCCGGGATAAGAGAATCTTAAGCAGATTTGTAGGTGATATGAAGAAAGGATATTGTGCACTGGCGAGAGAATGAAAAAGAAAATGCAAATCATAAACCGTGATCCAATGAAGGGTTAAAGGAAACTAATAGTAAGCTTACAAATAAATTCATGAACGAAGTTCCACACTACAAAGGTAACGCCAAGACAAAAAAAATAGCATCCAAGCTTGAAATATAAGTAGGCTGTACCAAAGTGTTATCTAATAAGGTAACCCGGTACAGTTATCCCTTATAATTGAGAAATCGGAAAAGTAATCAAACTTTGAATCAGAATATATGGATCTAAACCGAAATTAAAACTCAACGGTTCCCTATCAGCCGAGACACATGGACCTATGAGTACTTCTGTACTGCCAAGTTTGGCCATCAAGAGGCTAAGAACCAGTAGTTGGAACAGAATTAGATTCTGATGATCCAACTATTTCTTCAAAAACTTCCATGTCAATTGTCATATCGTCATTAACATCAGCTTCCTCTACTTCTGTTGTTACTTCATCATTGCCACCTGTTACATGTTCAACCCCATTTTCTACCGGATTAGAGGCCACCTGAGGTTCCTCACCTCTTTCCTGAGGTTCCTCATCTCTTTTGTCAATTTCCTCAGGTTTTTGCATCATTGCAGGTGGATATGGATCAGCAGAGATTGTCAGAGTAGATGTCACCAACAAATTCTACAAGCAGAGAAAATAAATGAGTCATCGTCTGGAAAGTATTCCGGTGTAATCAAAGTTTTGAGATGTTCAAATGGGGTATCTGGAGAAATATCCCATTCTGCATTTTTTAATGACTGCAGCATACTGAAAAAACTACAGCTAGCAACTCCAAAGGTTTGTACTGAACGAGAATCGAATCAAAATATGTGATTGTATGGCTATGTCACAAAGGGATACACCACTCATACACCCCCTACACATCATAAGCACAAGTTTTTTCAACTCAATTATATGCACACATATGCATTATATATGACTTTTCTAACTATCTACTAGCTAATAGACCCTGAAAAATGGTTCAAATCATACATGATATTAAACATCCAGCTGAAACATGCTATTCTATGGAAAGGGACCTTGAGTAGCTCTACTATATTTGAAAATTTGTTTGCAGTCAGGCCTCAGCAAAGATTCACTTTTCAGAAGGAAATAATAGATGCAAATGTCAATGCACTACTGAAATATTGTCTACTTCAGCAATATTGCACGCATGTAAAAAATTCAAGATGCCATTTTAAATAGGCCAAACTAAAAAACACACCTACATACCTTTTCTAGTGCTAGAGCAAGTTTCGAGAGATTTGGATAAATGCATCTCGCACTCAAAAGGATCTGATTCACAGAAGGTTCAATGAAATAAGTCATACGGAAACATAATACAACTTAGATACAGATATTTGCTAGGCATAACATATATTTAAGCATAGAGAGCAGTAAGCAATTGTTTCAGCAAAAATAAGCCCAACATGAAACAACCCTAGGATGCCCTTCCCTCAACAACAAGGCAATCTCCAAAACTAACAAACAAATAAAATTTGGGATTCCACTGATTCAAAACCTCAAATAAGGTTTGAACCATCACCAGAATTCAGTGCACAGTTGTAACCAATTAGGAGATTGTTGAAGTTATTAGGCAGGGTACAACAAAATGAAACATGATACTCATAATGGACAAGTATGATCACCTCACAAAGCCTCTGCAGGGTAAAAGGAGGACCTTCTATAAAGCTGAGAAGAGCTGCAGTGGAGAATAAACATTCTGTGAATGCTTTCAACAATATCTTACCAAAATTTCAGATTAGGAGAACAAATACATACATAGCTAGAAAATATCACTAATATACACAATCAGAAATATCCAAAATATCCATCAGTATTATGGAGTTATGCACAACACCTTTCCAGCCTTTATAATGGTTTACTATGCATGAATTCAACAGAGATATGGCTCTTAACAGAGTTGACAGAAATAGAAAGTTACAAGTAACTAGCCATAAGGAGCAGGTTTTGAGACCTTTTGAGATCAGTGAAGAGTATGGTTACAAGCATTCAGGGAACCAATACAAAGAAGTTATATTTTGATTTTCTCCTTTTTTTCATTTTTTATTTTTTATTTTTGAAGAAAAAAAAAAATTTGGGATTCCACTGATTCAAAACCTCAAATAAGGTTTGAACCATCACCAGAATTCAGTGCACAGTAGTAACCAATTAGGAGATTGTTGAAGTTATTAGGCAGGGTACAACAAAATGAAACATGACACTCATAATGGACAAGTATGATCACCTCACAAAGCCTCTGCAGGGTAAAAGGAGGACCTTCTATAAAGCTGAGAAGAGCTGCAGAGGAGAATAAACATTCTGTGAATGCTTTCAACAATATCTTACCAAAATTTCAGATTAGGAGAACAAATACATACATAGCTAGAAAATATCACTAATATACACAATCACAAATATCCAAAATATCCATCAGTATTATGGAGTTATGCCCAACACCCTTCCAGCCTTTATAATGGTTTACTATGCATGAATTCAACAGAGATATGGCTCTTAACAGAGTTGACAGAAATAGAAAGTTACAAGTAACTAGCCATAAGGAGCAGGTTTTGAGACCTTTTGAGATCAGTGAAGAGTATGGTTACAAGCATTCAGGGAACCAATACAAAGAAGTTATATTTTGATTTTCTCCTTTTTTTCATTTTTTATTTTTTATTTTTGAAGAAAAAAAAATGAAATAATATTTATGACTCATACAATATATAATCTTGAAGTATACAAACAAAAGAAAGAACTTGCAAATCCATGACATGCGAAGCTACATATGATTTTCTAACTTTGTACTAGCCTATGATCTTTTCCTCACGTCATTTAAGTTTGTTGGTAAAGCAGAAACACATGCGTATCAGATTAGGAAAATACAATTTAAGCATTGCACTGCTAATTGGAAACACATGGCCATTATAGGGCTAAGGGCCAAGCATTATCAATGGAGGAGGATTCTACTCGAGCAAAGAGTCAAAACAACTCAACCATGCATGGATCAAGCATGCTTAAAGAACACCCAAGGACCTCATGAGCTCACTTTAAAGAACATTCAAAGGGAATAGGCCAAAAAAAATTCCAAGCCACTTGCCAAGTGAAATCCTGAAGTAAAGTTCTATTAAAAGAAGGAATCATATAAACCCCAAAAGGTGTAGGGATTAATGGTGTTTTGCACACCCCCAATCCAAAAAACAAAGGGGGGGGGAGTTTCCATGAAGATCTGGTTCTTCATTTTGATCACTCTGGCTTAAGCCTGTCTGCTTAAATTAAAAATTACTTCCCTCATCTAGCTAAAACTGTGGGCAAGAGGATGGGGAACCCAAAATAACAAAACAAAAACAATATGCACAAACACCAATAAATAAATAAAAATTCAAAGAACAGAAATTAGCCCATTAGAAAGATCAAATATTAGCTGCAGATGCCACAATTTTGCTTTTTCTTCAAATCGCCATAATTTTCATCACCACCATGGCATCACCAAAGACTTTTGCTTCATACAATCGTATTGAAATTAGTCTCGAGCGAAGCCACAAAACATCACAATCAGACAGATATAACACTAATAAGGAGACAAATTAAAGATTTTATATGTATACAAGACAACCAGACAGATATAATACAAATAAGGAGACAAATTAAAGATTTAATATGTATACATGAAATTTATGTCAGAAGTGAACATCATCGAGTAACAGAATGTGGTGACCAAGACCTGAACACAATGATATTAATAAGGAAATCTAGAATAAAGGGTCTTCTTTTCTTTAGGTTGGGGGTTGAGGGTGTTGGGTGAATATCTTACATTCACTTGTGTCTACATGTGTAATCAGAATATTGATAGAAGCCCCAGAAACAAAGTTTATGCATCAACTCCATGCTTTGGTCCACAAACACCAGAACATTTCATGCAAAATGAAATAATACAACTTATGGATGTAATTTTATACTAAGGTACAAACTTACCAAAATTTCCCAGTTGAAGCAATAACTTCAAGTATAGTTCTGGCTTCTTCTTCGCTAATCTCATGCTTGTATTCCATTCCTCTGGAATTTTATGTATAATAAGGCTTTAGTAAATCAAATATAGTATGAAGACCCTCATAAAAACTTGCACATAAAGCTTTCAAAAAGGTGTTAGGTATTTGAATTGAAGACATATAATCAACTCTTTGATCCACACAAACCCACTGTAAGGGTAGGAGAAGAAAGAAACAAAGAAGAAGAATAAGAAGAAGAATAAGAAGAAGAATAAGAAGAAGAAAGGGGGTGGATGAAGAGAAGAAAAAAAAAAGTATTTCATTTGCATTTCCTCCTACATTACCATTAAAAAACAAAATAAGAAAATAAAACATGAAATCCCACCCTCATAAGACAATTCATTATAGAAGAAACCATAAAATAATTAGTAGCTGATCTGACTGTCGGTCAGTTTGTGTATGTGGTGCGAAAGAGGATTAAGCTCAGTCCTGAAGAGGCTATCTTCATTTTGTTGAAGAATATTTTGCCTCCCACTGGTGAGATTTAACATCTATCTTTTAGAAATATTATTCTTCCCATCCCTATTTTTCTTGAGTTTTCTCAACGGAAAAAAATGAAATCTGAGGTAATGTTTGAGTTATGAGGAAAATAAGAAAAACAACGGAATCACCAAAACCAAGGAAATTTTACATTATAGGTTCTATTTAGTTATGTCCTGTTAAAATACTTAGCCATATAAAAGATTACCATTAGAGTTATTTGAGAGAGGATTGAGGTTTTCTAAGGTCTTCAATAATGAGGAAATCTTAAAATCGAATTTTCAATTTCTTTTCCCAATCTGTTTTCTAAAATCAAACAAAGCAAGGGAACAAATCAAATTCCCTCAGGCTTTCCACCATATAATAGATAAGGAAAAAGTAAACACATTTAGAAACAAATTGGACTCAAATTGTAGGCAAAAGCAAAATCTAAAGATAATAAACAAAAGAAAATAAAGGCCAAAATTTTTTTTTCTCATTTATTTATTTATTTATTTATAGTTTGTTTTGAATAACAAGCATGCGCCATCATTTTCAGGAAACTAATAAAAACGACATTACTTCTTCAGCACCCTTTTACTGACCAATCAAATAACATCTCCCAAACTTATCCATGGTCTGTTTGGTTATCCAGAAACCACAAGAAAAGAAGCAAATACACTGGAGTTCAGGCTTCAAGAAACAGTTAATAAGAAATATTCTTCTTATTTTAATAAGCTTATACAAATCCTCATGAATATCAGTATCAAAGCATTCAAATTCAAGATTTGGAATTATAGATGTCTGCTTCTAGCAGCTATAGCCAGAACCAGTATCAGAGGATTCATGTTTTTACAGTGTATGAAAATCACAATCATAATCTCAAGATTCATGTTTTTACAGACCTAACAACACTTCAGAATCTCTCTTTCTTCCTAGATGAAGAATTTACACAATAGCCATTGATTCATTTGATGAACAAAAAAAACAAAAAAAAAACACAGTCAGAGAGACATAGATCTGAATGCCCGCAAAAAATCAGAGAGAGAGAGAGGGAGAGAGAGAGACGCATACATAAGAGTTGCTGGAGAAAGATTCGATCTTACGAGGTCGATTGGTGCGATGAGAGAGTGAGTCGATCGGTCGATCTTGCGATGAGAGAAAGTCGATCTCTTGTGAGGTTGATCGGTCCAGATGAAAAACGAGAGAGAGGCTGATGAGATGAGAGAGAGAGTGAGAGCTGCGCTGTGTTTTGAGTTTGAGAGATTAGATTCATTAGGGCTTTTGTTTGTCTGGGTGAGGATGAAGATGAAAGGTCGAACGGTCCAGATTATTCACCCAAAAAAAAGGACGGTCCAAATTTGAAATATTTAAAATAAAATAAAAAAATTGTAGTAGTGATATAATCACACTTTAATTAGAATGTGTGATTAAAAATATATATATATAATCATACTTATTTAAAAAGTGTGATTAAAAAGAAATAGTATATATATAATCACACTTTAATTAGAATGTGTGATTAAAAATATATATATATAATCACACTTGTTTAAAAAGTGTAATTAAAAAATAGTAGTGTATATATAATCACACTTTAATTAGAATGTGTGATTAAAAAATATATATATAATCACACTTAATTGAAAAGTGACATAAAAAATAAATATTATCACACTCAATCAAATTAAGTGTGATTAAAATACCAATCTAATTTTTTTTATCACACTTCCAATAAAAGTGAGATCTTTTTTTTTTGTCAAATGTGATCTTTAACTATTTTTGTAGTAGTGTGGAGTCAAAAAAGCAAAAAATGAAGAGGTTAATATAAGAAAACTCTTTGACGTCATATCATCATTTAATTGCAATACCACCTCAACACCTCTCACCTATGGCATTAAAAGCTGCATCATTCCAGAAATGTAGGTAAGGCCTAAGACGCGAACACAGACCTCCTTGGGGGAATTGGGATCCTCCCCTTGAGCCCCCTCCTTCATTCTCTCCTTGCAGGGGCCTTCGGGTCTACTTTGAGGCACAGTTTTGATAATCCGAACCGTTCATATTTTTAGATTTATTCAGTATATCATACCTGTAAAAAATCAAGTTGATCGAATATCATAAAGTATGTGTTCGGAAAACTGTTTATTAAAAAATAGTTTGTAGTCCCAATTTTCTGAACGCATACTTTCTGATATCCGATCAACTTGATTTTTTACAGGTATAATATACTGAATAAATCTAAAAATATAAACGGTTCGGATTATCAAAACTGGGCCTCAAAGTGGACCCGAAGGCCCCTGCAAGGAGGGAATGAAGGAGGGGCTCAAGGAGGGGATCTGGACTCCTCCTTGGGACCAGCTGTTGGCGTAAAGCAACACCCAAACGACGACCATCGATTGTTCACTCAAGATTGGTCATCCTGCCTCACTTGCACCTCTGCACATTGCAAATAAGTTGCCACCTCAGCGCATGATGATTTTTAGTGTCACAGTCCCCAGTCTGTCTATATGACCATTGAGGGGTTATCTGGCCACTGCTACAACAACACAACCTCTAGGAAAGATCCAGAATTCTACAACCTGACGGAGCAGCAAAGCTTCCAAAAAAACTTTGAAACTCTAGCCACTTCCAACCATCCTCCAACCCCAATTTAGCAGGTTTCAAAATTCCACCAACCGACCAACACCAAACAACATTTCAAAAAATTCTCACCCCACTCTTCGAGACATCAACAAGCTCAAAACTAAGAAAATGACTGATCAGCGTATTCACAGCCCCTTTCAAGCATGCCTCCCTTATTTGATATTGACAACGAGAAACAACACTATCGAAAATTTTAGTGCAATGCCAGCCACTTCCATTTATTCACCAATAGGAGCAGATCCATTGCACAGTATAAAGAGTACTGGGCCACAAAGTAAATCTCAAAGAAAAAGAGATTTTCCAACAATTAACTTGCCCAACTAACTCTACATGCGTGTGTATAATGTTTTATCTTTACGTACCTGGTCCCAAGGCCAGATAGAGAAGGTTTGGGTTAGGTGGCTGACAAACAGTGTAAAACTTTGATAGAACCCTTATGATCATAAATCCTGAGAATATTTCAGCCCTTCATTGATTGAAATGGAAAAAGATTCATGTAGTCAACCACAAATAGTCGGGACAAGGCTCAATTGTTTAATTTACTCAACTAATTTTAGTTTAATTATAAGTATTTTAGGAAATTGAAATTTTAACAATACTAGTAGTTTTACTAAAGCATCCCTAAAAGTAGGAAAATACCAAAAATCTCTATTTCCCTCCGTTAACTTATCAGAAAAATATCTTTATTCCCCAATTGAAATATTAACAATACTAGTACTTTTACTAAAGGATCCCCATAAGTAGGAAAATACCAAAAATCTTTATTTCACTCCATTAACTTATCAGAAAAATATCTTTATTCCCACTGAATATATTCTCTTGGAATAGCTTTTTCTATTTCCCTCCAGAGTTTCCAACAAACAAACAGAGCATTAGGAAATTTTAAATTAGATTTATGCTTACAGGGGTTGAAGTAACCAACCATGCCCCACTCTAACACTTGCATACAGGTCCATTTTTGGTTACTAACCTTCGCTGCAGGGATTAGATTCAACATCACAGGCCTTGGTCCATTTTTTGTTAAGAAACTTTGCTGGCTGCCCATAAAATAACTTCACTCAGGCAAGGCCGGGATTTCGTTTTCTAAGAAAATTTTTAGGCAATCCATATACGTAAATGCATATGCTCAATCATATAATTAGAGGGGGGTTGCAGATAGCTATTAAATAATTCTAGAATGGGTGGTTATTAGCAGAGAAATTTTTGTGAGAGCAAGGATGATAAGACAAACTTTTCTAGATAACAAACATGGAAGACTTTGAACTATGTGAAAAATTACCACTTGTGCCTAAGGTTGTAAGCATGTCATATTGGTATGGGGAAAAAAACAAGCAAGCACCAAACAAATGTCGGCGTTTCTGCGAGAATCGAGAGAAAACCACAGGACCTCTAATTGAATATGTGTGTGCAGTGTGACATACTAAAAGAAAGAAGCAATTACCCTTTGACGTTTGGAGCTTGGAGAGGATGGTGAATTGCCATGTCGACTACTTGACGAGGCCCCTCTGTTTGAGTTGTCCTGAGCCTGTACATATGTAAAATGTTCAGTTAGAAAGGCTAGACAGCCATTTTACAAATGACTGTCCAAGTTGGAAAACAAATATCTTAAATTTCATCTGTAACACTGGGGAAACTCTGATAATAAAGCAAACTCACTTGTGTTGAGGATGCTTGTGTAGTTCTATCCTCAATATCACCCGGCCCTCAGATGATGGAATACTTGACCCACTTGCTGTGCTTTCAGATATGATGGGCATGATCTGACGAAGTAAATTAGACAAGAACAGTCCTTCATCACCCTCTCTTGGTGCAGCCACCTGAGTAGTGGCAGCACTCTGAGTTGTTCCTGCGTAAACTGCAGCAGAACTTGTACCCATTCCATGGAAGTTAACGTCACCAACATGGATATGCTCTCCACGGAATATACACCTCGGCAGCTGATCAAGTCCGCCATGAATCTGCGTAGAAAACCCTTGACCAATTTCTGTCCCATCACCTGATGGAATGTTTCCTGAAAAACAAACAAGTTTCATGTGTTTAACAATTTATTTAGGAAGATAGGAAGGATATAAAAGGAATGCAAGGCAAAGGAATCTACCTCTCCCTACTCTTGTTTGGTTGAACGTGAAAGAAAACGAAAAAGAAATGAAAAGTTATTGCTGGATTTTACTATTGTACCCTTAAAATTAAATTGGAAGGTGGTGTTCAAAGGATAAAATCATAAAAGTGAAAAAAAGAGCCATTTCGCTTCTCCCTTCACACACTTTTGAATGAAAAGGATATGGCAGACCTCGAGAGGAGTATCCCTTTCTCCTTTCCCTTTGCCCCCAAAGCTATTACTTAAAAATCAAATCAATTGTTATTCTTCTAGTAAAATCAATTTTACATATAAACTATTTAATTTTGCATCAATTTTATCTTCACCATCAATTGTCGTTTATAATCAAACTGAAGTTACTTATATGGCCCTCAAATTTCATTTCACCTTCCAAGCTATTTCGAAAATGTTAGACCCCTTGACAAAATGAAATTTGAGGGTCTAATTAATATTTTATCGATAATTTTGGGGAAAAGATGAAGTTTTAAATAAAAACATGATGCAAAGTCAGTAAATTCTGTCTAATCATAGACAACAGTTGACAGCGGGATGAAATTGATCCAAAATTGAATGGTTTATGTGTAAAATTCATATAATCGAAAGAATGGATGTTGAATTGATTTTGAGTGATAGTTTGGGGGCAAAGTAAAACTTCCTCCACATTGTTTAAAGGAGGGTTGAGCTTCTCCGTGGAGTCCATTACAAGTTCCGTTTCAATGATCCTAATTATTTATTTTGTAGGGTCTTTAATGTATATTATTTAGGGATATTTACCAATAAATCTCATCTCATAAACAAGTACATGACACTCTAAAAAAAATTAAAAATAGTGTACTTTTTCCAAATACGACAACGTGACGAGTATGATGTGACATTCTAAAAAAAACTAAAAACTTCTTAGTGTACTTTTTTCAAACGTAACAGGTATTATGTGACACTCTAAAAAAATTAAAAAACTCTTTAATGTATTTTTTTAAAATATGACACTATAACGTGGCAGGTATAATGTGGCACTCCAATGTGGCGGGTAAATGAGTCATTACATATCCAAAAGGACTAAATGGATCACAAGAAAAAATATGGAACTATATGGATTACAAGTCCAAAATACGGAACTTATTCGTCAATTTCCCTATTATACAGAAAAATTAAGTTGAACCGATAATCATAACATTTTTATTTTATTACTTTTGTTTTCGAAAAATTAAACAAATATTTTTATTAAAATAGACTATTTATCTTTTTAGAAAAATAAGATAAAATGAAAATATTATAATTATTGAATCAATTTAATTTTTTTTATAAATAATATACTCAAAAAAAAATTATAAAATAAATAATTCAAATCATTAAAATAAAATTCATAATAAATTCCATAAACCAAGGCGGAACCGTAATAAAATCCACAGAAAATTCTATTTCCACACACTAAGTTTCTTTACTCCACACACTTAATGAATTTTTTCAGAATCACAATTTTATCCGTTAACAAAATTACCATCTCATCCACCACCATCTCACCAGCCACTTCACCAATGGCCACCGCCTCACATGCCCAAACCTCAACCATACAAAGTGGGGAACACAGATCAAACAATTGAATTGATTAATCAAGAAGAAATTGTAGATCGTTAGAGAAATCGCGTCTGTTCGGACAACTAGTGCTGAACAGATCGCCGCCGTTAGGATATCAATCGCCGAACCAATTGAGTATGTACAGATATCAACTATCGAATCTATAGGGTTTGTTTGAGCATCAACCATCGAATCTCTCTCTGTCTCTTTTTCTTTCTCTGTTAATCGATCGATCGATCGTGGTAAATAAGGGAGGTTGCGTCGCGATGGAGGAGGCGGAGAGGACTGGGGAGGTGGCGGAGAAGACTGGAGAATGGGTGGAGAGGTGGATCGCAGAAGTGACGGCGACCGGTGATGATCGTGATGGAGGTGACTGCGACCGGCGATGATCGCAATGGAGGTGACGGCAGCATGAGGGGATGTGTGAGAATGGCTGAGAGGCTGGGAAGGGGCGGTGGTTGATGTCGTCGTTGCCGCCATTGTCGTTAGCTGGTGTAGTTAGGGATAAGGTTTTTGGAGTGAGAAATGATGGAATGAGAGGATGTGCACAGAGAAGGTGAGGGTATGTTTGGAATGTGACGTGTGTGGATTGAGATAAAGAAGTAAAAATCAAATTACTAAATATGTGGATTGAGAAAAGATGTACACATAAATAATTTGGTGTGTGGAAATAGAATTTCCCAAAATCCACCCTCAAGTTCTCTCAAGATAACGCGGTTCAATAACCCTGGTCCCGGCCAGTGGGCCATATTTCTTCCCCGCATCTCATCAATTATTGCCTCGGTAAACATCTGTAGTAGGCCACTCCCTTCTTTATCTCTTCTGCACCTTTTCTCAATCTCACTTGGCGTCTCTCTCTCTCTCTCCCAAACACACGGCTGATCTCTCTAACTATGACATTTTCAAAACTTTATTCCCACTCTAGGGTGGCTTTTATCTTTATTTCCATTGTAGGGTAAAGCAGCTTTAGTAATGCTGTTTTTCAGAAAACGACTTTTAAAAAGCCGTGTTTTACGATTAAAATAATAATAAAATTTGAACACAGAAAATCGGCTTTGGAAAAGTTGGTTTTAATTAATTCTAAATTAACTAAAAACGGTTTTGGTAAAACCGTTTTTACACTAATTTTTTTTTTAAATTTATATTTTTAACATAAATATTTTTTGACCAAAAATATTTTTAATACAAAAACGGTTTTAGAAAAGTCGTTTTATAAAATGGATTTAGAAAAACTGTTTTCACAATTTTTTTTTCTTTGTTTGTTTTCCCACGTGGGAAGGTTGTTGGACTTGGGAACCAAAAGAAGAGAGAGAGAGAGAGAGAGAGAGTAAGTAGCAATTCCAATGCATTCAAAGATGGGTTTCTTTAGAAAATCACAACACAGACAAAATATAATTCATATAATACTCCAACAAATCTTATCAAGATTCCACGTTCAATTACTTATTACATAAAACATATATTGTGAAAGTTTTGAAAGCTGTTATTTTAGTAGGTTATTTTAGTTTTTGGCTATTTTAGTATATTAAAATTTTTGTGTTTGGAAAGATAATTGGATTTTTTTATAGTTGGATATGATGTTTATGAGAGAAAAAATAAAATGATTGTGTTTGATGTGATATTTTGTCTTATTAACTATTTTAGCATATTTTATCTTTTTGTAAATTTTAGCTTAAATTAAGCTAAAATCTCACTTCCTAAACAACCCCTATATATACACACACATTCCTGATCTTCCACGGTCTCCTCATTTTCTACATATAGGTTTGAATGTTGTGTTTGGTTACAATTTTCAAACATTGATTCCACATCCACTTTTGAAAACATGTCTACTCGGTCATCCTTCCGAATGTCCCCCCGGACGACGTCTGGCTAGTTGACTAAAAAATTTTAAAAAATAACTCAAAACTCAAAATACAACTCAAAATTCTTTTCAAAACTCATAACTAAACAAATTTTTTCTTTTCAAAACTGATGACTCAAAACACGACTCCACACTCAAATCATGATTCTAAAAATAATTTTAAAAAACAAAATAAAAATATTTTTTAAAAATAGAATTTTGAAAAGAGTTTGGTTTTGAGTTTTGAATTGAGTTTTGAGTTGTGTGTTTGGTTGAGTTTTGAAGTTAATTTTTAAATTGAGTTTTGAGTAATTTTGAGTGGTGTGTTCGGTTATAAAACGCTTTTCTAAAATCATTTTTGTATTAAAAATATTTTTGGTCAAAAAATATTTATGTTGAAAATATAAATTAAAGTAATCTTTAATTTAAAAATACAAACATCACATCCAACTATAAAAAAATTTAATTATCTTTCTAAACACAAAAATTTTAATTTACTAAAGTAGACAAAAACTAAAATAGCCTATTAAAATAACAATTTCCCAAACCTCCACAATATATGTTTTATATAAAGTTCGTTTGGGATGTGGGTTGACTTTTTGGCTTTTTAACTATTTTAGCCTAGGGTTAAAAAGTATCATTTGTGATAGATTTTTAGTTTTTTTGACTTTTGTGAAAGAAAAAATGAAATAATTATGGTTTAGATGTGACATTTTGTGAGTATTTGGGAAGTTGCTATTTTAATAGGCTATTTTAGTTTTTGACTATTTTAGTAGGTTATTTTAGTTTTTGACTATTTTACTATGTTAAAATTTTTGTATTTGGGAAGATGGTTGGATTTTTTTGTGCTTGGATGTGATGTTTGTGAGACAAAAAATTAAATGATTATGGATTTGATGTGACATTTAGTCTTATTAACTATTTTAGTTTAGTTTGTCTTTTTGTGAATTTTAGCCTAAATTAAGTAAAAATCCTACTTCCCAAACAGCCCATTTGTCTTATTGAACTAAAAAACTTATTTTAACTTTTTGTGAACAGCAATGCTAAGTATCATGAAAAATCTTTCATGAAAATAATCATGAAAGCTTTATGACCCTTAGATTATACTTAGAATAAAGCACCACACACTAATCAAGGTAATCCAAGGATCATAAATTTTTCATGACAAAATTTTCATGATCCCCAACTTTTCCCTTTTGTGAATATTTTAGTCAAAAAATCTCCGTTTAACTCATGCCAAACAAGGGCATAATAAGTAATTGAATGTGGAATCTTGATGAGATTTATTGAGTATTATATGGATCATGTTTTGTCTGTGTTGTGATTTACTAAAGAAACTCATCTTTGAATACATTAGAATTGTTGCTCTCTCTCTCTCTTCTTTTTGTTCCCAAGTCCAACAACCTTCCCACATGAGAAAACAAATATAACACAATTTTTCTAAAATCATTTTTGTATTAAAAATATTTTTGAAACTCATTTTTGAATGCATTTGAATTGTTGCTCTCTCTCTCTCTTCTTTTGGTTCCCAGATCCAACAACCTTCCCACATGGGAAAACAAATATAAAACATTTTTCTAAAATTGTTTTTGTATTAAAAATATTTTTTATCAAAAAATAGTTATGTTAAAAATATAAATTAAAAAAGAAATTTTGTGTAAATCAAAACCATTTGTAATTAATTCAAAATTAATTAAAACTTAATTAAAATTAACTTTTTCAAAACCAATTTTCAATGTTCAAATTTTTTTATTATTTTAATTGCAAAATACAGCTTTTCAAAAGTCGTTTTCTAAAATATAGTATTGCTAAAGTCGTTTTTATAAGAATAAAAATAAAAAGTGAGAATAAAATTTTGAAAATGTGATAGTCAGGGAAATCGGCCCAGACACACACTTCGTCTCTCTCTCTTTTATGGTGTCACAGCGTTTCTTCTCTCTCATGATCCATCTCTCTCTTTGAAACCCAGCCCAGACCATCAAAGAAAAAACGTGTTCACTGTCTCTCAGGATCCATTTTTCTCTTTGAAACCCAGACCAGACCATCAAAGAAAAAACCTCTCTCTCTCTCTCTCTCTCTCTAGCCAAGACTCCAACACGACCCTGCTTTGGTAGTAGTTCCTTTCAAAGCCATGGACAGTAGTATCTCCCAACCAAATCCACTTAACAACCACCACCACAAAGCTACCACCGCCACAAACAACAACGACGACTACCAAGTTACAGATCCTGATCTCACTAACATGATTGGTCGAGATCTTAATTTCTTGAAAGAGACCATGACAGAGATTCAGAAGTTTGTAGATCATATGAATGTGCAAATCAACCAGGCTTGTGAGAAATTTGAGGAGCTCAAAACAAGAGAAGGAGGGAGTGATACTAACGAACTTGACCAACTGAAAATGTCTGTCAAGAAGTTGAAATCCCAGATTCCCTCCAAGCTTAAAATCCATTATGATGATGATTCAAAACCACATCGGAAACCATGGTTTGATGATGGATCCATTAACAGTAGCAGCAGCAACTACCAAGTCGATGTAAACAAGTCGGTTATTTGCACAGCTTGTACAAGGAGCCAAAGTTTGATCACACCCCTGCACTTGCAGATATCCAGGTATCTTTCCATAACCTCCCTCCGAAACAAAAAATTATTTTGTATTTTTTCCGGATTTTCCCAGAAATGGCTACCATGAAGAAAAGGTTTGTGATTTACTCGTGGATTGGAAAGAGATTTCCATACCTAGAAGAAGCAGAGCATCTTGCCAACGGGATGTTGAATGAGCTTACTGCAAAGGGCTTCATCGAGCCTATCTACAAAAATTGTGGATTGGTTGTGGATAGCTACAGGATGCCCCCTTACATTCGTTCTGCTGTAACCTTTGAATTAGATGATTTTGATTATTTTCCGGCTATTCGCTTCGCCTGTTGGGAAAGATGCATAGTCAACGTTGATGCGGCTATTATTGATGGAAGACATGAATTTATTTTCAAAACCGGCACTGATGTCAATGTTGTTTACTTGGGAAGGTGGCAGAACTCGGTCACCCATCACATTGAAATCCCAGACATCAAAATTCTCAATGCACTCAAGAATATGAAACAATTAACTTTTCTTAGCCTTCGAGGAATTTCTTTGATTACAGAGCTTCCTCAGTTCATTTCACAACTGACTGAACTTCAAGTTCTGGATCTCAAAGCGTGTCACAACCTTGAGGTGGTTCCAGATTGGATTGGCTTGCTTGAAAATTTGATACACTTGGATATATCTGAGTGTTACCTTTTAGATCACATGCCTAAGGGGCTTGGTGCACTATCTAATCTCGAAGTCCTTAAGGGATTTATTATTGGAGATTCCAAGGATAAAAAGTCATGCACTATCAATGATTTGACAAAATTGCCAAAGTTACGAAAATTGAGCATATTCACAAGTATGAAAGAATTTCCAACAGATCAGCAGCTTCATCATTTGCAAAGATTAAAAATTCTACGAAAGTTGAAAATATCTTGGTCAGGATGCATTTTACAAGGTAAAACCGATGATTCACCTAAGCAAGCACAACTATTTTCCAAGCAGACAACACTGACAAGATCATTCATTGAGCAACGTGATCCAAAACTTCCTCTCTCATTGGAACTTCCTTCATCATTGCAAAAACTAGAGCTTGAGGGTTTTCCTGACATAGATACACCTGGTTGGTTGTGGTCTGGCAATTTGAAGAACTTGAAGAAACTTTACATCAGAGGAGGACTATTGTATAATTTGGACAAAATAGTAGCTACCACAGTTGAAATGTTAAAATTGAAATACTTGAGTAACTTAGAGATGCCTTGGAAAGACATTATGATGTTATTTCCCAATTTGATTTACTTGGAGAAAGTAGAATGTCCCGGCCTCAATTCCTTCCCATGTGATCAGAATGGTGTTTGGATGAGGAAAGACAATGACATCAATGAGAAATGCAATGGAAGAAGCTACTGAGAGAGGAAGGGAAATCTCTTTCTATTGTCTTCCCTTTCTACTTCTAGGTTGGCAAATTAAAGTCTTGAGAGATAGTATATAGTAATTTGCCTCTCTCATGAAAAACTAGCTGTATGTATTTATTTATTGAATCAAATGTATATGTCTTCAAGGTCATTCATCAAGGCTTCTTTACAAGTTTTCAATAAAGTTGCATTTGGGTAAGGCAGAGCATCTCTTTACTGGTAATTTTTCTGAGGGGAAATTACAAAAATAAAAAAAAAAATAAAAAATCAGAGTTTGAATTTTGTTAAAAGAAAAATAAGCTTTAATTTTTAATTTTATGAATTTAAATTCTAATTTTTGGATTTGTTTTCAATCTAAACCATCGACCTACTTTCCTATAAGCTACAATGTGCCTGTTTGGTGCAGCTTAAAAGCTACTTATTTCAGCTTTCAGCTTAATTTAAGTTATTTTGATGTGTTTGGTTTAACTTAACAATGCAACTTATAATTTTTTGTAAGTCAAAAATCAACTTATTCTTTGAATGGGGTAGGAGATGCTTAATTTATAAGTCAAAAATCAACTTATGTTCAGAGTTATAAGCTATAAGCTGTTAAGGTATAAGCTATAAGCACTTTCCCACAGCTCTACCAAACAGGGCCAATGAAAGATGTTTCATTAGCTTTGAAGAATTCTTGATTTCAAATGATTTTTTTTTTTTTTAAATTTAAATTTTTAACTAAATGTATAATTTATTACACATCTTCAACTTTGTAATAAATAATGTTGAGTTTTAATTTTCCACTGCCCTTCATTTTTCTTGCATTAACTTATATTCAATATTTCAGTTACTTTACCCATTAACATTTTTATTATGTCAATGTGATGGAATTTAGTGAACTACTTAAAAGGAATACATATGAAAATTTAAAAGATGGGAGTTATCGGTATTGGTATCATTGTGAGAGATTTCATGAGAAATGGCATCAAGCAGTGTAACGCCCTCAAAATAATACATATAAACCAATCATTCATGATATCCATAAACAAATGAGAAATAAACATATATTCATTTATCAGAGTGTTCATTACAAAAGTATTACATGTTGACAACAAAAGTAAATGCCCTGCGGGCTTACAACTTTCCAAGTCAACACTTGGTTACAACAGAAGAGAGTTCTAACTCTTAACATATTTAAGCCCTTGGCCTGAATTACATGTAATACAAAGATAATCACAAAAATATGCCTTCAGCTTCTAAACCTCCCAGGCTACATCCTTGGAGGCGGCATATCACCTGTACCTGAAAATGATGTCCTATATAGGGTGAGCCAAAGCTCAGTAGAGATATACTAAACCAAATATGAGAAATAACTAAAACATTAGCATTTGACAAATGTTCAATACATGTGCATCGATATACGCCATTTTTATAATCCACCAACATTGATATTCATCTTTCAAGTGAGCTCCATTTGTATTTCCAATTCATTTCATTACATAGTTCGTCTATTCCAGTAATTCAAATGAGACTACAACTCATAAGAAAACAACACTTCGATTCATTAACAACTCAAAATGAGACTACAACTCATATTAACAACACTTCAATCATCAACATCATTCAGATGCACATAAGGTTTCGGGACTTTCACCCTGGACACTCCGGCCAACTTAATTATCAATAGATTCAATCCCCTATCTCCTCCCAAATAACAGAGTACATCCCCTATCTCCTCCCAATCAACACACATATACAATGTATTTAAACACTTCATCATATACAATGATCAATCAAAGCACATATTCAATGTGTTATTCTATCCGTCATATTCAATGACATAGTTCTGTTGATTAGTTTCAATTTTCTGTAATCAACATGCAGTGTCTACAACAATCAAAACTATCCTCCACCGATAGCCCAAAGCAGCTATTTCTAAACAGATAATAAATTTATCAAACTGATAAATTATTTCATTTTTCATCGGTGAGTGATTTATCAATCCAACTACACCATTCAACCATAATTCCATCCAATTTCATGATTTCCAAACCAATTTCATATTCCCACAATTTATCAAAATTAATTATACAAATTAATTATTTAAACTTAATTAGGGCATTTTCCTCCCTTTCTCAAACATCAACCCCAAGGCTCAATTTCATGAATTTTACATCAATAACCCCATTTTCCAAGGTCTCATATACACATGGAACTCCACATTAACAAACCTCTCTTTTATAATTTCAATTTCAAAACCCTAACTTCCCAAAATTTCCATAACTCACCATTTATACAAAATGACTAAAATTTATGTTAAAACTCATAAGAAGGAGTAGTTTAACCCTACCTCAAATTTCGGAGCTCAAAGGAGAAAGAGGAAGAAACTCAAAGTGCTCCAAAGCCCAACTTTTTCAGATCAAAATATAGCCCACGCAAAGCTCCACACTTTTTACAAAGGGACTAGGGTAGACACACCCAAGAACCAAGGGTATTTGTAGAGAGAAAGTGTATGTAGAGAGAGAGTGTGCCGGATCTAGAGTTTGGAGGAAGAACAGAGTGAAAAAGTGTGTAAAAACCCGCTGCTGCCATCTAATATACTAGAGGCTCGCTCGAGCGAAGGAGTAGTCGCTCGAGCGACCAAACACAAAAGAACCTCTCTCGAGCGCAAGAAACGTCGCTCAAGCGAACAATGCGAAGCTTCAGGTCTGCAACCCAGAAGCACGGTCGAGCGCAAGAGTGCTCGCTCGAGCAAAGAAACTCAAAACATAGACCTCGCTCGCTCGAGCGAAGAAACACAAGCTTCAGGTCAAAAAGGGACGCAGACGCACGCTCGAGCGCAAGAGTTCTCGCTCGAGCGAAGAGACACACCACTCAAATCTCGCTCGAGCGAAGGAACCCTGGCTCGAGCGAAGGAACTAAAACCCAAAGCTCGCTCGAGTGATAAAAGCCTCACTCGAGCAAAGAAACCAAAATCTGGACATCAACCATTTGTTTCTAATCATAACCAACCTATTTGAAACCTGCCCAACACATCCCAAAACTCAAATACAAAGAATTAAAGGACGGAAATGCGACATAGACAACAACAATCATCCACGGAACCGAGTCTGGGATACAATAAACAATGGAGGGAAAATCGGGATCGCTATAAGCAGTGAGAGAATTGTAAATGAATCTGTTGTGGACAACATTAAAGTAGTTGGGGCATACAAAGTTGTGTCTTTTGCCAATGGCTTGAATTTGTTGCACACAGGCTAAGGGATATTTACTTTTAACTAAACAAATTTGTTTTAATGAAGAAAATTTCTAAATCTATTGGGAATCATACAAGCTAAGAGTAGTTACTTTTAACCATACAAATTAGTTGTAATGAAGAAAATTTCTCATCTATTAGGAATATCATCGTCGATCTGATATTAAAGATTGGATGGAAGTTTTAAATCTGCTTGTATTCACTACCCATCTATGGTCATTTTGAATGGAAGAGGTTCCAATTGAGGTTGTTTCTTGTGTCCATTCTGATTTGTCTGTACTTTATAAATGAAATCATCTTTCTACATAAAAATAATTTTTTAAATTCTTTTACGCAATGTTTTTAAACCGTTACATTAGTAGAAGACTTCCATCATTCCATACCTTTTCATCCATAGAATTTATTATTACAATTTACCTTATTTACATCTCTAAAATTTCTAACATATTCGCATTTCATAGAAACCCAGTAAATATATTTTCCACTGCAAAATCGCTTGGGTGCCCACAAAGAACAAATGATAGGTATTGGTATCATTGTGAGAGATTTCATGAGAAATGGCATCAAGCAGTGAGAGAATTGCAAATGAATCCGTTGTGGACAACATTAAAGCAGTCCTGGCGTACAAAGTTGTGTCTTTTGCCAATGGCTTGAATTTGTTGCACACAGGCTAAGGGATATTTACTTTTAACTAAACAAATTTGTTTTAATGAAGAAAATTTATCATCTATTGGAAAGCATACAGGCTGAGGTATTTACTTTTAACCAAACAAATTCGTTTTAATGAAGAAAATTTCTAAATCTATTGGGAATCATACAAGCTAAGAGTAGTTACTTTTAACCATACAAATTAGTTGTAATGAAAAAAATTTCTCATCTATTAGGAATATCATCGTCGATCTGATATTAAAGATTGGATGGAAGTTTTAAATTTGCTTGTATTCACTACCCATCTATGGTCATTTTGAATGGAAGAGGTTCCAATTGAGGTTGTTTCTTGTGTCCATTCTGATTTGTCTGTACTTTATAAATGAAATCATCTTTCTACATAAAAATAATTTTTTAAATTCTTTTACGCAATGTTTTTAAACCGTTACATTAGTAGAAGACTTCCATCATTCCATACCTTTTCATCCATAGAATTTATTATTACAATTTACCTTATTTACATCTCTAAAATTTCTAACATATTCGCATTTCATAGAAACCCAGTAAATATATTTTCCACTGCAAAATCGCTTGGGTGCCCACAAAGAACAAATGATAGGTATTGGTATCATTGTGAGAGATTTCATGAGAAATGGCATCAAGCAGTGAGAGAATTGCAAATGAATCCGTTGTGGACAACATTAAAGCAGTCCTGGCGTACAAAGTTGTGTCTTTTGCCAATGGCTTGAATTTGTTGCACACAGGCTAAGGGATATTTACTTTTAACTAAACAAATTTGTTTTAATGAAGAAAATTTATCATCTATTGGAAAGCATACAGGCTGAGGTATTTACTTTTAACCAAACAAATTCGTTTTAATGAAGAAAATTTCTAAATCTATTGGGAATCATACAAGCTAAGAGTAGTTACTTTTAACCATACAAATTAGTTGTAATGAAAAAAATTTCTCATCTATTAGGAATATCATCGTCGATCTGATATTAAAGATTGGATGGAAGTTTTAAATTTGCTTGTATTCACTACCCATCTATGGTCATTTTGAATGGAAGAGGTTCCAATTGAGGTTGTTTCTTGTGTCCATTCTGATTTGT